GATTTGAAGACCTACGATCTGCAAACGACATAACAAGCACTAACAGCACCCCTTTCAAAAAGGTAAAACGGGGAGTGCCTGTAGCAATTGCTGCTATCCCTGGTGCTGGATTGCTCGCAAGCATGGCCTTCAATTTCTTCAATCGACATGAGATTAAACACCTTAAATCTCATATTGCTCACCTCGATCATCAGTTCTCCAAGTTCACCCAACAAGTTCATGATGAAGTCGTGCAACAACGTCAATTCAACAAAGATGTTCTCTACTTAATCAAGGATTACCAAGAAAACGTGGACGAGAGACTAAACGAACTCCAATGTGCAATTACATCACTGTATACGTATGCTATCGAAAATTTGGTATTTGACGAGTACAGGGAGAAGGTGAACTTCAACTACGAATTTCATGGAGTGAATAGAGGGTTGTTAATACAACCGACGTCTCCAGCTATACTATTAGCTGAAGACCTTGAGTACTTCGTCAACTGTCAACAACAATCCGATATTCGCAAGTTCCTTCTTTGTCTTGTCAACAATGTACGTGGAACCTAACGCCGTCTTTCTCACTTTGAGCCAGCTACAGTTCCTGTAAAAAGCAAAGAAACTCTTGTCTTCGAGTAAAACTAAACGGATATACCTTAAAGACGATCAGTTTTACTCCGCAGAACGGTCAGAACGAAACTCGACCACTTAAACTGCTGGTCTGTCTCGATATCTCCAAAAAGACAAAGACGACCTGAGATTACTTGTCTTAGCAAAGCTTCTCAATGTAAAACGGGAGAAGTACACTGTAAACATTATGTCGCACAAGTTTCAGTAGGAGCCTTGACTTTCGGAAACGGAAATCCAGTCATTGGAATTAATATTGGAAGCTCCTAGAAGATCAATTGGATAGACACTCCTGACAACGAAACTGAACTTTACTCATGTGACGAGTACTCTCAAATCCAATTACAAAGTAGAGTTTTGTATTCTATCCGACCGGAAGACATTACCAAATTATTCACTGGACGACGTCACTGGACAGTAACATGTGGTTTCAAGAACTCGCGACTAAAACAAGAAAACATCAGCAGTTAAACTTTACACGGATCCATCAGCTTATCGGAAAGCAGGACCAATTTCTGTTACACACGACTAATAAAAGATCTGGAGTGCGTTAGAGAGGAACAAGCCGATCAGTTCCACCTCCACGACAGAATATAGTTGAAAATAACGACGAGAAACCGGAAGAGACGTCAATCATAATTCATCAAAACAAAACATCAAATACAGTATCAAAATCATTCCAATCAGATACTTCATCAACACCAAAACGTTCAACACGATCAGTACAAGCTCAATCCAATATTGAATAAATCATTCACTCAAACTTCACAAAAACGAGCATAACATTGGCAGTATAAATTGGCAGTTGGCAAAAATGACTTTAATGTCGACGTTTCATAACGTCCCCCAAAACTGACTTTAATGTCGACGTTTCATAACGTCCCCCAAAACTGACTTTAATGTCGACGTTTCATAACGTCCCCCAAAAATGACTTCAATGTCGACGTTAATCACAACGTCCCTCAAATGACTTCAATGTCGACGTTTTTAACGTCCCTATTATAATGGCTACAATGGCCACCAGAGACTCAACAAATGGACACTTTTCTCAACTGGACATCAAAACACAAACAGTGCATCTAATAATCATCTACCTAACCATTCTAAATCTGATACCGAAAAGACACGCTCTACAATTTATTTTCGAGCGACACACATCAAACAGGTTACACGCTGCGCTAAAAGCTTTAAAAAACAATAAGGACTATGTAAAACTCTATGAAGCATTACAAAGCTCGAAATCCAAAATATCAAGAAACTGTGGATCATATTCATATTATTTCAGTTCTTCCAAAAAAACAAATACAGAACACTTGTACCTCCAGAAACGGTACCGCTACTTTTGCAACTTTTAAATAATGCGGTGTGTGTTAAAGTATTTATTAAAATTACTGAAACGGTTTAATGTCGAATTTTAAATTATTTATCAAAATCAAGGAGAAACCGATTTTTAAATAAGCAAAGGCACCAATTTCAAACAGCTCTTAAAAAGTACCCAGTGTCCGAGCCTCTCGATATCAGACTTGGAGCTGCATCAATTAAGTATTTTAAAACCGTGAAATTCCGAATTTTGAACGACACCATTACAAAAAACAGACTGAATTCACTGGTTAACATCAACAAAATCAAGATACGCCCATATCTGTTTTTTTGAGCCTTTTAACGAAATCAGTTGTACTATTTTACAATTTCGTACCTATAACTTCAGCATAAAAACAGCTAGATAATTACCTCATTTTATCCTATCGGGAAACATCTTTTACGCTTGCTCATGATCATATATTGATCTATGGTGTTTCTGCCTTGCCACATAGGGGCTGAAAATTGGAAATTGCACATAATCACAGCAATAATAAAACATGACCTTCAACAAAGAAAAATTCATTTATCAAAACTGTAACACACAATGATCCAAAAATGAAATCAAGACTATAAGAAAAAAGAACGAAACCAACATACCAGGCTGTCGTGTCCCTTGAACCTGCTGTACTGACGCACTGCACTCATGTAATGCCAATGGTGCATGCAGTACGCCAGACTCCCGTCTCTCGTTCCATGAACTATCCCCCTCGGGATCCACAATCCATCGGGGGCAGTTCCTCCACAATGGGAGTGTCACAAGTTCTAAAACAACACGGCATCACGACAGGTTTTAAATCTTTTGAACCATGACACTTCTTTACACACAACACCAGGATCCAAATTAGCTCACTACCATAGAAAAATGCCATCAACTCCGGGCACAAGAATCAGTTTTCCTGGAGGCCGGCCTACTCTCACACCACTTATTGCATTCGTTGCTTCAATTCGCCATGTTTTCTTTTCTCCCCCAGGAAGTCTTGTTCAATATAGCGCTATTGTTACACTTTGACGACATCCTCCAATTAAGAGCTGTGAGCCGTAAATTACGACATCTGCTGGACCCGTATTTCCTCAACAAATGGGTGCAAATAAGCGAATCTAGCATCGCAACTCACAATTCGATGTTACCCGAAAATCGTACATGCCCCATCCCTTCCTCGCCTCATAAAACTAAAAAATGAACTGACCCTTGCAGCCAAAACAAAATCTCCACAAAGTTTCATCCAAACATCAAAGTTCATTTTCCAGCAGTTATATCAGAAATGCCTTGTCAAAAAACCATTGATGTGTGTAATATCAGCTTACCTAGAACAACATAATAAAAGATTCTTCAAACGACTGTTACAAAACAGTGTAATATGCAAAAAAGGCTCCTAAAAAATTTCATTTGCTAAAAGAACTAACAATAATCCTGGAAATTTATATTGAACTATCGTGCCTATATAATACTAAGAGTTACGAACATTTGCCAAGTGAACTAATGACTTACATTGATTACAAATTTATCTTCAATAGGAACAAAGCACTAAAATGGTTTAACCAAGATTAACCACAAATTTGAATCACCAACCAACGCACTATTTTAAACCTTCAAGGTGTCGTTCAAAATTGAAAAACGTAAAGTAATGGAAAATATATATTAAATTGATTTATATGTGAATTTATAAGTGGTCACACACAATTGTAACGAGAAACAAACTTTGTTAAAATTAATTATGATTACAATGCAGAAAGAATCTTCAGTTACCGATGTTTCTAGTTACATATTGATTGTGACAAACTATATACAAATATTTATTCTTGTGTCTTAAGATAAAAAGATAAAGTCAAAAAATATATTGTTATTTTCAAAACTAATTCTTCGTGTGATTTAACTATTCGTCCACTTTATAAACAAATTAAAAGGGTAATGGACTTCATTCAAGATATTTACTCATAACATTAAATTATTTCTTTCAACATGTGTAAATTTAATTTAATTTCATTTCCGATATTGATTGTAAAACGATGGTAGGTTCCTGACAAAATTTGGAATTTTTTTCCTGAGGGGGGAAGATTGTGGGTCCACTTCTCTCCTTGCTATAAGCCTTACAATAATTCCATACCTTGTTGGCTATTTTCCAGCTGTCTACCTGTATTGGCAGGTTGCCAGCTCAAGTGGTCACAAACGGCACTTGCCAGCCAAAAGTAATGGCGTGAACCCACTTAGAGGTCATGACGATAATTAAAGCATCCCACTTATATGATTTGTGACACCAGAAGTGAACAAGCTTTGGCTGAATAACATTGCGGGTATTTGTAATAGATTGTGAAATAATGAAATAACGGTCTATGATGCGATAATTAAAGTACCGGAAACGGTGCAATAATGGAGTAATGGATAAACGGAAAACCCTGATTGGTTGATCTCGTTTGTCCAGCTCATGCTCATTTAAGATAATCGTTTCCTGGAGCCCAGCCCGTTCGACCCCCCAATCAGGAACTCGAAACTCATCTCGTGGATCACACGTGTCGGCCCAATGACCAACACGAGTGATACCCTTTTTAAACCCTGGGCACACCTATAATTCCCCACTTCTTGACTTCCTGACTGCATCCCAAAGACATAGTAAAACCTATCATCGTTCCTAATTGTTAATACATTGATACATTAATACATTGATACATTGATACATTGATACATTTATACATTGATACATTGATACATAGCTACAACCAACCCGATTTCAAGTCGTATTATTTGGTCAACTCACTCTAACTAAAACACAACGCAACCTACAAGTTCCATTGTGGGAACAGACAGATAGTCTGTTGGAACTAAAGTCCTGAACCTAATCAACCTATCTCAAACCTAGACGATCAACCACCTCTCTCTTCATAACCCACACTATTATTCAAGATGCTGTACATCTCAGTGTTTCTTTCATAATTAAGACAAAAAAGCAAGCAGCGGCACAATCTCGTAGAATCGTGAATTCAGTCCTAAAAAACTACGTCTTCAAAATTGATTTAAACTTGAACCTGTTTCAGATTGACATAGCATTTGAAGAAGATAGAGGATTCCTTGCTGCAATTGTAGCTCTGACACAAGTTGCCAAACGACCGATTATCCTAACTTCTAACAATCCGAACATAGCCTTGCCAACAGATTCGGAGTTTTTGGTTCTGAAATTCAACCCGCCAAAAACAGAGGTAGGGATGGTTTTAAATTAACGGGACTGAAATGCATTCTAATATTTCACCATTTTTCAATAACGCGGTTTATTTTCACGCAAAATGTACAACTTTGATTGATCGCTACCTTACCTGGGGACCCCAGGCTACAATGTTCATCTCTGTTCGCCGAATAGATCGATTCGGCGGAATAACAGGCTGAGCGCCACCCAGTAATCCTTACCCAACTTAAATGATTAGGTTAATATTTCTACTTTATTTCAGAGTGTTATGTTGAATATGGGGTGCCTGTCACTGTCCTGCAATAACCACATTGCACCATACCAACTCCAACAATACAGTCAGTACTTCAACTCGGATTTACGGCGACTGCTAGTCAACCTGGAGTTTCTAAACATTTCCTCCTCAAAAAGAAAATTAACTGAGATAGACATAGCCCGACATTTCTTTGGAGTTAAACGTTCTCTAGCCCCACAAAAACTGTTCCTTGAACAAACCCAGGCACTAAACCTACAGTTTGTTTATCTGAACTTGGGTAAACTTCTGAAAAAGAAACAGCCGAAGGGAGAAAGGAACAGTCTCCTGGAGCAAGTTGTTTGCAGTGACACTTTCGTGTATCTAGATATGCTCTCTCCAAAAACACATTCCTCTGAATTAGACGTTTTTCCAGTGCGGACTAGCTCCTCTTTATTAGAGGATATAAGCCTTTTAACGGACTGCGGAGACGACTGTTTCATGCACAGGGTCTCCGTTGAAGACGGACTTCTTAATTTCCTCAATGTTGACAGTAATTCTCTCCTAAATACTCGGGTGAACTCTCTCAAGTTGAAGGAATGCAAAAGGTTTGCTCAAATCAAGGAGGTTCAAAGAGGCATTCACGAGGCTGTGTCCCACGTGAATCTTGTTTCTCGGTCAGTAATGGACGAGTTCAGTGCGTTGAGAGGGATTTGTAAAGTTGATAAGATAAAAGAGGAAAGTGGTGCTAAACGGAGGTTTAAACATTATTTGGATAATGATATTGGTATTAAAAACCGAGAATTGCTAGCAGAATATTGGTTGGGATCTTGATAGTTATTGTTGTGATTTAGAATATGGGATTTTGTATCTAGCTTTATGTCGGTTTTATTAGAGAGCACAAATTTAAACTCGCTGACTTTGTGACAGTTTTCCATTTCACATTTGTTTCAATGATATTTGATCTCATGATTTTGGTGTGGTAACAGAAATTATAGTAGTCTCGATGTAGAATTTTGAATTGTTTACGATTATTGCTGATAAAGTGTCTACTTGTATATTTAAAGATGATAATTCACAAAGATAAGTATCGCTCTTTTACTTTCTATCATCGCTGTTAAAGTAAAAGACATGTGAACTGTGGGACTTTTCAGTCCGGAAATGTATATTCAGTCCGTAAATATATTGTTAGGAAATATATGGTTAGGTGAAACATAAGCCCACTTAAGATTACACGCTAGGAGAACTACACATACCTATTATATGACATACCATAACTACATAGTATAATGTAATGAGGAGGTGAGTTAGAGCCACAGAGCGTTCAATATGTACTGTCGTGCTTCACGTACGGTTGAGAAGGTTAACTGGTGGCAGGTAACGTTCAGATAGGTTCAATTTGTCCATTCCTGCCAGTTTCTCAGAATAACATACCAACTAACTGGGCTTGAAGACATCATTTATCATCAATTCGAGAACTGTTCACTGTTTAGCATACCCATGCATTTGTTCGTGGACACAGATATAGGACGGCACGACTGAGGGCCGGGCCTGGACACGTGTGCGCGCATTAAAAAAGTCCGGGGAGAACCCTGCTCTCCATAAGAAACTTTCCCAGCTGCCTACGATTTAGCCATTTTATTTTGCGACCGCCCAAAAATATCAATTCAGTCTACATCAGAGACAATTCCTCCGAAAACATCACATGCATTTTAATTTGAATTGTAGAAAACGAGGCAGTGTAAGAAAAATATGTACTACACTAGAGAATTGTAAAACCAGAGCTTCTCGGCTTTGCTTTTACAATTCTTATGGAGGACGTGATCTATCGGCCTCAGTAGCAGATGATTTAGGTTAGGACCACTTTTTTAGCTATAATTTTGCCAGATGTCGAAAGCTCACGATATGGCGGTGGCATTCGTCTGCTCGAACCCAAATTCGCATTCATGTTAAAAAGGAAAACTAATCCGAATTAAAAGAATATAATAAAATATCCGTTCGGTAATATATATCGCATACAACTGTTTCTAATAGTAATAGGCCTAATAGTAATTATAGTGGAAAAAGCTCAGTCAGTTTTAAAGTCTTTTAACTTGGGCCCATCCCTAACACTTAGCAATAAATTAATTTCGCAGTTCAAATCAATAAATTAAGATAAAAACGTTAAAACCCGGATAAAAACAATCAAGCTGCTGCTGAGCTATCTCCATTTTCGACATCCTTCTTCTTTTTCTTCTTCTTCTTCTTTTCCGTCGCTGGAGTTTCTGGAGCGGGCGTTTCTGGCGCTTCAGTCGAAGATGATTCAGCTACAACTGCTTCTGAAACAAAGAAAAGTTAAATAAGTTCGATCACTTGAACAACATGAACAATAAAATCTGTTATTTTCAATAATTTTTGCATGAAAACCTAGCTATTATAGGTATAACTAACAAGACCTTACAATTCATTACAAATAAAAACAATATTTTTAGGATTATTACCACTTTTCCTCTTCTTCTTCTTCTTCTTGGGAGTTTCAGGTTCAGTAGTTTCAGCTCCTTCTTCAATCTTAACTTCAACCTCTGACCCTTCTTCCACCTTTATCTTCTTCTGAAGTTTTGTGATGGTTTTTTGTCGGCTATCGACTAAAAATGCACGGTCAGATATTTTATCTTCGGCATTTTGAATAGCCGTGATATTTGGAGTGGACCTCATTTTGAATTGATTTCATATGCCATTTGTATTATCTACCACAGCAATAACTGTGCAGGTTCAACACTAATGGTACAATTTCTGCGGGAACGTGGCACTAATTAGCGTCCAAAACACTAATTTTAACATGTTAAAGCAACTTATGTCTAAGCAAACCTACTAATGTGGAAACCAATCTATCATTATTTACAAGAATAATGTTCAGACTTCAGAGTGTTTAGAATGTTTAGAGATACGGATAGATCCAACCAACCATGATTTATCTAAGATCAAATTCAAAGAGTAAAAACCTTCTTCTTCTTCTTCTTTTCAGTTGCTGGAGTTTCAGGAGTCTCAGAGGTCTCCATCTTGACTGCTGAGTCATTAGACTCACTCCTCGCCCGTTTCTTGGACTCTCCCTCTCCGGTTACCACGGTGTTTGAGGGAGCAATGGGTGTTATCGTTTCTGGAGTATCACCTGTGGATGGTAGTATATTGAGCAGGAGATAAGAGAAAACTGGTGCCGTCTAAATCTAGGATATTTCCTTACTTTTAGAATACGTATAATGAATCTTTAGTGGCGATATAATAACATTTCTCGATTTAAGTGATAAAAACAACAAGTGAACATACTTTTGATAAATTTGAGCCACTCAGCGGGAGTGTTATCGTTAGGTTTTCCGTGTTTGTCCAGTTTTCCGACCTTAACAAGGCCCTTCTTTACTGAAGCCATTGGGCCTAGACCCCACTTTCTTGGATACACGTCCCTGTCCATGATGACTCGTTTCAGTTTTACTACAAAGCCATGGTCACATGTTGCCATGGTACTGGAGGTCATGAGAGCATGTCCAATAGCAATAGCTTCTCCTTTTGTAGTCATGAGAACTACTTCTTCTCCTATTTCAATACCACTCTCGAACCGCAATACTCCTGAAACATGATAAGTTAGAACATTTTAAACAGTTGCAGAAACGTGACAAGGTGTAGATGTAACATTACAGAGGGCGGAGACAGAAGCACTAATCAATTAAAATGTAAATGTCTACAAAAAATATGAAATGATACTACTTATGGTTCACTGTAAACCGTAGAACAGTAAAATCTAACCTGGAAGAGTGAGTCTAGCTCCGTAGCAGATAGCATTGATAGCACTGTCCTTAACAACCACCCTCTTGTGGTTCACCAACAAGCACTCCAGTGGTTTGATACACCTCCTCAGATATGACTCATCCTTTGTGTTGTCATAGAGGTACTGAGCATCCATAACATCATGCATAGTGACTAGTCCATCTGATTCGTGCTGAATTCCACTCCTGCATCTTCTCAGCTCCTGAGGTTGAAATGGAAATGAAATCTCGGAATCTCAGAAAAACATAAAATGAATATAAACTTTAAAGTCTTTGAAATAAAATGATTATTCAGAAATGCTGTAAACAAATTCTTAATTCAGAAATACAATAGAGAATGCACGATTGTATATGCCAAATTTCAACATTCCTTCGATTACTTCGAAAGATAATTATCTAATTACAAAGTTAATTATCAAATACCTGCATGTGTGCTCCAACTCCCAGTAGTAATCCGATATGTACACAGAAAGTTCGGACGTAAGTTCCAGCTTCACATTTCATCCAGAAAATTCCTGAACAAAACGCACGTGTTAACCTCACTAATCGCAATTGAGTGGGTGCAATATTTTTGAAATTCCATGCGCTGCACTGGCTCCTTGGGAATGGGGATGGTACAAGTCATAGAGTTATAAATAAACTTAAATCTGAACTGACCAAGTTTCTGTTCTGGGTCGTATTCCAGCAGCTTATTCTCGTAAATGGTTCGTATTCTCAGCTGTCTCTTCACAGCAGATATCAGTGGAGGTCGTTGGAATTGAGCACCTAGGTGAGATGGAGGTTGCAAGATGTGGTCGTAAAATAAGAAAGGTAACCTTGATAACTAAGAGGTTTCATCAGACAATCTGATGTTTTAAAAAGTGTTATCGAATAGAAATCTTCACGGCTTACCTTTAAGCTTCTCTAAAGTCTTGTGGAGGTCTATTTCATCATCAATTCCGTCATGAAGTCTGACAATACCGATATATTCCTTTCCTGCATTCTGTTGAGATTTCACCAATCGGGTGGCTCGTTCGATACAAACGATCAAACAACCTGGGAATAGTATCAGTATCATACTTATAATATGCAACAAAACGTTTCCAAGTTCACACTACACATATGTTAGCCGTTAGGGTGAATATCAAAAACAAGCACAACAAACTTAAATCAGATTTAATTAAGCAGTCGCTTTCCAGGAAAATAAAATCATTTGATAATGAGATTCTGATTGTAGAATGGAAACTGATCGTACTTGTAGTCCAAGTTAACGTTAGTGAGAATAAAGGAGATATTTATTATTTACCGGTAACTTTGGGATCCAGAGTACCACTGTGTCCAGTTTTCTCCACCCTGAGTATACGTTTTATCCAAGCTACTACTTCGTGAGAGGATGGGTTGGCTGGTTTGTCCAAATTAATGTACCCAGTTCTAACGTGAAGATCTGTAATATGTCGTGTTACACGCAAGAATAGAGTGTTATATTTAAATGTTTTAATAAATCTGTTTTAAGCAGTTTACTGAACAAAAAACATCTTCCATGGGTAGATCATAGGGAAAAAACTTAAATTGTTAGCAGTCATGTTTACTGTATATTTCTAAGCAGTGTTAAGGTTTCATGCAATTTCTTACCCAAAGGACGTTTAGTAGGAGAATATCCCTCTGTCAGCGGAGTGTAATGTCCAGTCCTTACATTCAATCTGTCGTAGTTCTTTAAAAGTATTGGCCACTCGCTCGTATCGAGTGCTGGAGTTTTGGTCGAGGGTTTTATGACAAAATCTGCATCTACATTAGCGTTCTCAGCAACTTTTTCTTTCTTTACCTTTGGCTTCTTGCCAACTTCGACCACTTTGGTCTCTGTAGCCAACATAACTGGGGCCTAACTGAATAGTGGAATCAAATGGAATGGATACACAAGTGAACGACTGCATGTTTTTATGGTAGTTACAGTGGTTAAAGAATGGTACTTAGGAAATATTTTCGATTAGAAAAGTCATGAAAATTGACTGGGATCCCAGCAATGTGGGGTTTGAAGTTTGATTGTATTCTTCGTTTTGGAACTTATATTACTACACTATATTTATTATTTACTACACTATATTTTAAACCACTACAAAACAATCTAAATTTCAATATACGTTTTAAGCAACAATATTCTTCTAAGAGATGCCTTCACCAAAATTAGTGCTTATTTCAGCTTCCAAATTTGGCCAATGAAACAGATTCAACTTGTATACGAAAAGAAATGTGAAGACAGTATACACTGCACCAGCCCTCCTTGGTAGCCCAGTCAACGAGCACGAGAGATATCTTCGTAGCGGCCTAGGCATCATCAATCCTGTCAGAACATCACCTCGTGAATTTGATCAACCAACAAGACCCAGACGTTATCAAGCTGGATTTGGGCAAGATGAAAGAAAATAAAGAACTGAGGAAACAGAAGAGAAGATTCTCCCTCAAAGGTCCTAGATGATCTGTAGTAAGTCAGATCATCAACTTAAGAACCACGTAGACCAAGCAAGAGAGAAGGGAGCCTCAACATGGCTCTCAACACTACCACTGAAGGACCTCAACTATATTCTAAACAGGCAGGAGTTCCAAGACATCATAAGTCTATGCTATGTACACAATGTGTTCTTCCTCCAAAAAGCAAAGTGTACAACAAAGATAGAACTGCACTCATGTCTGTTTAACCAACTTCATTTACAAAGACGACCAACACCGAGGATGAAGCCCGTCGGTGCAGCTGTTGGACTGTATGTGCCCTTTGAAAGAACATTCTTTGACAAGTCCTAACTACGGCTCAAACACCTTAAAGTCATTAGATAAGATCTGCAGTGACCATGAGAAGGAGAAGAAATGTTTGCATGAGGAAAGTATTTCAGTCAGAGAAAGGATCCCTTTTACCACTAGTCCCACAGCTCTGCACTGTATTTGTAGATTGGGCGTAGATTTTATCTCTGAAATGATAGCTGACCACACAAAAAAAGCTTAGAGTCAGGTCACAAATTACATCAGAACACGATTCAGGTTTGATTTACTACGAAGCACACTCATTGCACAGAGGGGAATCAGAGTAAGATCAACAGCACAGTATCCTCACAGTGGTCCACCAGGGGGGGGGGTGTCATGTCCGTCTATGTCCGCCTATGTCCTGTCCTTTTTGGATTCTATGAGACAACGGACGTGTTTTTTGGGACATTGGCGGACACGGACGGACATTGGCGGACTCGGACGGACATTGGCGGACTCGGACGGACATTGGCGGACTCGGACGGACATTGGCGGACCCGGACGGACATTGGCGGACTTGGATGGACATTGGTGGACATTAGCGGACATTGGTGGACATTAGCGGACAAACATTTTGAGGACTGAAGAGTACTGAAGAGTACTGAAGAGTACTGAGGAGGATGGCTGAGAAGGATGGCTGAGGAGGATGACTGAGGAGGATGACTGAGAGGGAGGAGGAGGAGGAGGAGGAGGAAGAGGAGGAAGAGGACTGAGGAGGAGGAGGAGAAGGACTGAGGAGGAGAAGGAGGACCCAGGAGGAGGAGGACCCAGGAGGAGGAGGACCCAAGAGGAGGACCCAGGAAAAGGCCCCAGGAGGAGGAGGAGGACTGGGGAGGAGGAGAACTGTTGAGGACTGATGAGGAGGACTGAGGACGAGGAGGAGGAGTAGGAGGAGGATTGAGGAGGGGAGGAGGAAGAGGACTGGGGAGGATCAGGAAGACCCAGGAAGACCCAGGAGGAGGAGGAGGAGGAGGACCAAGGAGGAGGAGGAGGACTGAGGAGGACTGAGGAGGAGGACTGACGATGACTGAGAAGGAGGAGGACTGAGGAGTACTGAGGAGGATGGCTGAGGAGGATGGCTGGGGAGGATGGCTGAGGAGGATGAATGAGGAGGATGACTGAGAGGGAGGAGGAGGAGGACTCATGAGGAGGACTCAGAAGGAAGAGGAGGAGGACTCAGGAGGAGGACTCAGGAGGAGGACTTAGGAGAAATGAGAAGGAGGACGGGTCACGAAATCCTCTCCGAACCTCCACGTGGTGTGGCCTGGTTGGCACTAACGGGTGGTGTGCTCTCTTGTTGAGTACTAAGGTTGGGACTTGCCAACTCAAAGTTCCCATGGGAACCAGGAAGTCAACAATAACAGCTACCAAGCACCAGGAAATTTCTCTTTCAGATATCAGGTTACAAAATAGTACACACACAAATGACGATACGTTAGACACAGATACCTAGCTCTAAGAGCTATTAAATCACCAGGAAATTCTCTTTCAGCTTTCAGGTCCCATCGAAGTAACCCACCACAGAGCTAGGGATTCCAATTCGCTCATCCTGACTACAAGGACACACTGATAATGAGTAGTCTTGGCACTTCTCCCTCCAGTAACCACTTTTCAGGTCTTTTCAGTTAAGACAGCTAATGCGTAAGGGCTGACACACGCTAGACACAGGCTCGTAATAAGACAGAATTAGGGATTTCAACTCTGACTACGAGGACACACTGATAACGAGAATTCCTGGCACTTCTTCCTCCAGTAACCACTTTTCAGGGGACCGGGTTAGTTTTGCCACACTCTTTATTGAAGTGTGACTGGACGCTCTACAATCATCTAGTAGCAGCAGAGTTTGACTGACATCCTTACTGGTTCTATTCAGTTTCTACAGCGGAAGTTCTCAACACTCGAATCAGTTCATCTCGGACATCCTGCAGAGATGCCTTATCACAGCCTGCCCCATTACACGGGGAACCCTTAGATCTACAGTACCCTGGTGGACAGCTTAGCTCATTAAAGCATAGTGGACCTCTTTAGTTCTGAGACGCAAAGCTAACCGGACCAGGAATAAACATCATTGCAATGCTTAGGGGATGCAAATAGGACATACAACGTTTAACGATTTACTCGAACTTTTGATTCATTTTTAAGCTCGACGTTACATGGTATCAATTCAGGACAGATATTCCTTCTTCAGGTTCATTGAGGAAATCGTACCCGCTATTCGCGTTATACATGGCAAGTATCTGGACTAATGATAACTTAGGATTACCACAGAGTCAGTTATCAACTTGGTAAACTAGCAACAGTTTACCAATGCGAGCTCTTTGCTCTCCACATGGCTAGTATTTGGATCATTGAAAATATAGGTACAACATCATTCATAAATCTTTACTCAGATTCCCAGGCCTCACTCCTAGCACTTACCAGCACCAGCATCAGCTCCAGACTAGTGCTGGACATTGCTGACCAACTTAACACATTAGGTACCTCCCACAAAGTAGAACTTAGGTGGGTCCCAGGACATGAAGGAGTACACGGTAATGAACTAGCTGACGAACTAGCAAGGGAGGGATCCAGCAGCACCCCCATTGGACCTGAACCCTTCCTCCCACGGCCACTCTCGGAAGGCATAATCAACACCCAAATACAAGATTACCTCTTCAATCTCCATATCAAGAAGTATAAACAGGTGGCACTCAGTGATAAAGGAAAAACCCCACTAACATTTTTCCTCAACAAATACAGGTACAAGAAAATTAACATCACAGGTACTCACATCAGATGGCTAACATGGCTACTATCAGGACACAGCCCACTAGCATACTTCCAGACGGTAGCAAACAACTCCAATTTCGAAACACAAGACTGTGAACACTGCCCAGGGGAAGCAGAAACATCACAACACTTCCTATGTGAATACATCCAGCTGATGACAACTAGAATGAAGATATTTGGTAAACCCATCCTAACAATTGAGGAACTCATCAATAGTAAACTCGACCACATTATCAAATTCGTGGAACAGTCAACAAGGTTTGACAGAGACGATCTATTTGGATAAGCATCTAGGACATACACCAAGGTTCATAAACAATCATACACTAGACCCACACAGGACTATCTCAGATAGTGACACATATTCAGGTGTGAACCATGCTCGGAAGTCCCTCGCCTGCCCGCCAAAGAAGAACATCTGAAGTGGGTTTGCTCTGAGCAAGGTAGTAACAGCTTCGAGACTCCAGAGGTCTGTTGCGTTGATATCTATTATTCTATGTTTTTGTATATACTTAGGGAGTCCTGGAGTGTGGCTAGCAGGAGTCACACTCTGTGGGCACGGCGAGAAGGCCTCCCTCTTCACTAGGAGGCCAGAAACCGTTGACCAAAACAGAGAGAGAGAGAAGGAGGACTGAGGAGAACTGAGGAGGAGGAGGAGGAGGAGGAGGAGGACTGATTAGGAGGAGGAGAAGAAGGGGGACTGGGAGAGGACTGGGGAGGAGGAGGACTGATGAGAAGGATGAGGAGGAGGACCCAGAAGGAGGAGGACTGAGGACCGAGGAGGAAGAGGAGGAGGATGAAGAGGAGGAGGAGGACCCAGGAGGAGGAGGACTGAGGAGGAGGACTGAGGAGGACTGAGGAGGGTGGCTGAGGAGGATGACTGAGAGGGAAGAGGAGGAGGAGGAGGAGGAGGAGGACTCAGGAGGAGGAGGAGGACTGAGGAGGACTGAGAAGGAGGAGGAGGAGGACTGAATAGGAGGAGGAGGAGGGGGACTGGGGGAGGACTGAGGAGGAGGATGGAGGACTGAGGAGAAGGATGAGGAGGAGGACTGAGGAGGACTGAGGACTGAGGAGGAAGAGGAGAAGGATGAAGAGGAGGAGGAGCACCCAGGAGGAGGACCCATGAGGAGGACTCAGGAGGAGGAGGAGGACTGGGGAGGAGAAGGACTGTTGAGGACTGATGAGGAGGACTGAGGACGAGGAGGAGGAGTAGGAGGACTGAGGAGGGGAGGAGGAAGAGGACTGAGGAAGATCAGGAAGACCCAGGGGGAGGAGGAGGAAGAGTAGGAGGAGGAAGCATCTAAATGTTATTTCCATTTTTGTCTGTG